CTTCTGAGCCAGACTGGCTGATCTGCTCCACCGGGCTTTGAACTAAGCCTGCCGGGGGATGGGGGGACTACTGCCACTGCTGGCCCACTGAGCAACTCTTGCAAAGCCAGCAGGTCAAGGTATTTAAGGGATCCCACCCCTGCCCCAGTCCTGGAACAATCTGTAGGCAAGTCAAGGGCCCCCAAGGGGACACTTGCGTGCCTATATGCAAATGCCAGGAGCTTGGGGAATAAACAGGAGGAACTTGTCCTCCTGCTAAACGCAAATAACTATGATGTCATAGGGATAATAGAGACCTGGTGGGACTCCACCCATGACTGGACCATGGGTATAGATGGCTATACGCTGTACAGGAGGGATCGAGTGGACAAAAGCGGCAGAGGTGTAGCTCTTTATGTCAAGGAAAGCTACCCATCCCTGCAAGCTGACATGGGCACCCACAGTGGGCAACTTGAGACCCTCTGGGTTAAAATCCGTGGGGAACACGGCACAAGGTATACTGTGATGGGAGTCTACTACAGACCCCCTACCCAGGGTCAAGAACTTGACCAGGAGTTTGCCAGGGAATTAGATGAGGCCGTGCACTCCCAGTGCATGATTGTCATGAGAGATTTTAACTACCCAGACGTGGGAGGAGCGCTCAGCCAAATCCGAGCAGTCGCAAAACTTTCTCTTGTGCCAATACGAGGATGACCTCTATCTGACGCAAGAAGTCTATGGGCCGATGAGAGGTAAGACATTGCTTGACCTCGTACTGGCAACCGGGGACAACTTAATCAGCAACCTAATGGTCGAAGGGAAGCTGGGTGACAGTGACCATGAGCTGATCACCTTCACCATCTGCCGTAAAACTGGCAAGTCAGTCAGTAATACAGAAGTCCTTGACTTCAGGAAAGCTGACTTTAACAAGCTAAGGAGGTTTGTCAGTGAGGCCCTAAAGGGCCACAACCCAAAGGAGAGGAGAGTTCAGGATGAGTGGTTGCTCCTCAAGGAAGCAATCCTGGATGCGCAAGCAAAGTCCATCCTGTCTCGGAGGAAAGGCAGCAAAAGGGCACAGCAGCCCCCTTGGCTCTCCAGGGAACTGGCAGACCTCCTGTGTCTTAAAAGGAAGACCTACAAAGGATGGAGGACTGGAACCACCACCAAAGGGGAATACTCTGCTCTGTCCAGACCTGCAGAGAGCAAACCAGGAAAGCCAAGGCTGCGATGAAACTCCAACTGGCTATAAATATTAAGGACAATAAAAAGTCCTTTTTTAGATATGTGGGGAGCTGGAGGAAAATCAAGGGCAACATTGGACCCCTGCTAAACCAGATGGGACAACTGACAACTGATGGCCATGAAAAAGCAAACTTGCTAAATGGGTACTTTGCGTCAGTTTTTCACCAGTCCCATGGGACACCCCTGCCCACTGTGGGTCAGGGAGGCCCGGGTGAGGGAGATTCCTTGCCCTCCATCGAAGCTGACCTCGTGAAGGAACACCTTGACAGGCTGGACACCCTCAAGTCAGCTGGCCCTGATGGTTTACACCCAAGGGTACTCAAGGAGCTGGCAAGCATCGTAGCTCAGCCCCTGGCATGGATCTTTGAGAACTCCTGGAGCTCTGGTGAAGTGCCCGAAGATTGGAAGAAGGCCAGTGTGGTGCCTATCTTCAAGAAAGGGAGGAAAGTAGATCTGGCAAACTACAGACCCATCAGCCTGACCTCTATCCTGGGGAAGGTCTTGGAAAAGATTATCAAAGAGGCCATCCTTAACAGACTAGCTGACAGCAACATCCTGAGGGATACCCAGCACGGGTTTGTTGCAGGATTGCTTGACCAATCTCATTTCCTTTCATTTCATCTCATTTAAAGCAAATAAAAAGCAAGCCTACAGGTTTGTTAGATTCATTCAGTACCTCAGTCTATTAAAATATCCTACATCCTTTGAGTTACAGAAATGCCTTGTACTCCTCAGTTATAGAAAAAAGCATTGTGTATGGATTTAATTTTGAAGCAGACCATTTGCAACAGCTCTAAGATTTCCACTTAATATGCAATATAGTTTTCCATTTGCAATACATACTGGTATTAGAGCTGAAATTAAGCAGATCAAGCCTTTTAAAAAATATGCAAGTGTATGTGCATCTGACTGGGCCATTTTGACTCTGTTCCCGAGAATAGCAGTAGGTCATTACATCTTAGATAAAAAAATAATACTGCTACGATGCAAGAGCCTGAGGCAAGCTTCACCAATGGAGTTATGGTTTATGCCAGTTCCATTGTGTGCTATATTTTTATAATGCTAAGAAATGATTCTCAGAATATTTATATAACCTAAATAAAATGAGATATATGTTGTAGTTGAAGCAGAGAACGGGCAGTCAGGAGGCAAGAGCGCAATACTTGTTCCATCTACAATTTTTTTTTGGAAGTCACTTAAATGGGCAAGTCACTTAAATGCTGTGTTAGTCTCCTCATTTGCTCAGGAAAACAGACCTTATGATGAGAGGCTGAGAGCCATGGGACGCTTCAGCCTAGAAAAGCGCAGGCTCAGGGGCGATCTGATGGTCACCTGTAAGTTTATCGGGGTGCTCATCAGGATCTGGGGGGACATCTGTTCACCAGAGCGTCCCAAGGGATGACAAGATCAAACGGTCACAAACTCCACCACGACCGATTCAGGCTGGACATAAGGAAGAACTTCTTTACTGTCCGAGCCCCCAAGTTTTGAAATAGACTGCCACCGGAGGCAGTCCAAGCACCCACTTTGAATGCCTTCAAGACACATCTGGATGCTTATCTTGCTGGGATCCTATGATCCCTGCTGACTTCCTGCCCATGGGGCAGGAGACTGGACTCAATGATCCTCTGGGGTCCCTTCCAGCCCAAATGTCTATGAAATCTATGAAATCTATGGATTATGAGACCTCAGAATAATTAATGTGCTTCAGAATAAAAAATAATTCAGAGGCATTCTTCTGCAAGTTGTCCCATCTAACTCAATACTGACTTTAGCTAATGTATGAGCTAAATGTATGGCTCATACATTATTAGCTCATGTATTAGCTCAGTATGAGCATTATTAACTCGTGTATTAGTTCAGTATGGCTAATGTAATTTTTTTCAGTTTTGTTAATTTAATCCCTTCAATTGTCTGTGTATATATGTATAAAGCCAAAAAATAATATATATTAGAATTCCAGCTTGTTTTCTACAAGCAAAAATAGTTACTTCCTAAGTTCCTTTTCGATTTGAGCTGCAATTTAAACTCTAGTTTTAAAATATTAGATATAAGCTAGGAAAAATTATTTCTGAAAGAAAGCACTTCACATGTAAAAATTTCTGCAGATTATTACAGCACTCTTCTGCTGTTAAGAAACGATGCAAGTGGACAGTGAAGTGGGACAGCCTTTTCCGGCATCAGCTGCTTCTCCACTGGAACCAATGCCAGATGTTAATAATTCTATTAGAAACCATGCTTTCAGGAAACAAAGATTATTTGTTTAAAATTAAATTTATAACTGCATGTAAACGTAATAAGCACATTTAAAACAGGAAGATATTAGTTCCTTCCCTGAGGCTCACTTACTGGATTTTACATATAGACAGCTGAACCAGTCTGAATACCTCTAAACATCTGGGTAGTTCTGTTTACCTGTCATGCAAATGAGACTACTTGTGTGACTCTAGCACTGTAGCAGAAGCACATTCTCTTTTAACCATCACCTAGTGTACTCATTTCTAGTGTAAACTGCTCTAAAGCATTTAATAAAATCCAAAGTTCCTTTCTTTATGATAGATCCACACTTATTTGGGGGGTAAATGTTTGATGGACAGAGAAACATCATCTTACTATGTCCAGATGCATTCTTCATCAGTTTATGTACTTTATTAACTGTAGCTACCCAGAAATGCACTTGGTCATTGTGTAGAAGACTTCTCTCGAATTCAAAGATACTTCTATGAAATTCTTTTGATCCTGATTTAAAACACTCTTCTCTTTACAAGTTCAGCAACCAAGGAGGTGTCTACTCTGCACCTCACAGACACAGACCCATGTTTCTTTAAACTAATTCTGTTGAGTACTGCCAGCAGTGTAGCTGCAGTAGGATGGAGTCAGCATGACCTCACTGTCTGAATATTCACCTAGCTTCCTGGGTGGATTTTGTAGCTTGTGCTGCATTTTATCCTGCTGCTGGTACACTGTTTTCTGTACCCAAGCTACCTCAGGTATGTTTACCTAAGTTGTGGTCACACCTTGACAAAGTGAAGACACACCCAAAAATAACTAGAAAAACAAAGCAACACTCTGAAAGACCAAAAGGTTTGGCAGGCTTTCCATTATGTCCACTAGCTTGTTGATAATGTACTATAAACTAGTATGACACTGGTCTATTATTGGATCCTTCATTGCACAAGTAGAAGTAGGAATCAGGTCACTGAAGAGATTTCCCATGTGTCATAATTAAAGAAACACCTGTGCTAAATAACTAAATTGATCCTGTGTGAAAATTCAAAGTGTTTAATGACTTCTAAGAATTCTTCCTGAGATAATTTATGAGCCTCAAATGAACATGTCCTTAAAAAGTAGTGGGCTTATGTACAATAGTCTGGGGTAGAATGCTGTTCCAACACACTGGATATAATGTTCTAAGCTCTGATAATAGAGATGCCTGGTGCTATTCCTAGGACCACAGATCAGAATTACATTGTAACAGTGGGTTTTTAAAGCTCTATGTGCGAGATGAAAGACATTTGCCTAGAAGAAATGATGTCATGAGGAAAATAAAACTGAATGAGAAATCCCAAGTGTCATACTACCAAGCATAACTGGGTAGGGGCCAAATGCAAGGACACATAAGTTACATGTTACCATAAATGTGTCTCAATGAACACCAAAATTGGTGGAGGCAAATTGCATGTTAGCATAAATGTGTCTCAATGAACACCAACTATATACGAAAAAAAAAGATTAAATGCACACAGAAAGCTCAACAATCTGTAAAATATTAAACTTACTGGTATCGGGTTTTGTCCTTCAAAGAGTTTTTTCTCGAGTTGCTTCCTTCACTTAAATTGTCTTCTCCGTCTTCAGACTCCAAACTGCGATTACAGCTCCGAATAGTCTGAAAGATACTATTTGCTGTTGATTCTTTTTCTGGATTATTCAAACCATCTTGGCCTATTCTTTGCAAGAAATTATCTTGCCCATTGTAATCTGAAACAAACTAAAATTCCCAAAAGAGTTAATACAATAACAGTGAGAAATTTGTATTAAGTAACCTAGAGAATTAGAGGTTTAGAGATTTTTCAAAGGAACCTACCAGTACGGGGCACATATTTCCCAATTTCAATGGGAATAGGACACTTAATTCTGGTCCCTGATTAGGAATCACAGACACTATGGTTAATTCTAATATAATAAAAGCCGTGTCAGTCTGTCTGTCCATAACACTCGGGACCAACTGCGCATGTGCTGCCCATAGGGTGGTGGATGGTGAATGGCTGACCCGGAGCGTTACAGACAGACAGATAGGAGGAGGTGGAGGCAGAGGCAGTCGAGGGCCAGGCGATTGGGGACGCAGTGTGGAGCACTCCCTGCTGCGGGGCACTGCCTACCATGGGGCACAGTGAGCTTCCTGCAGTGGGGTGCTGCCATGTGGTGCAGCACACCCTACTGTGTGGACTCCCTTCCCTGCCACCTTCTGCTCCCTGCCGCCTGTTGTCAGGAGGTGTGGCATGCCACCAGACCACAGCCGGCAGGGAGCTGGAGGTGGCGGGGAAGAGGAGGAGGGGGCAGCATGCCCCACCCCGCCCCACCCTGCCGCAACCCTGACTGCCTGCCCTGCTCCCTGGCCCCCAACTGCCTCCACCCAAGGAGGGGGAGGGGAAGTGTGGGGGGTGGTTGCATGCAGCCAGACACCGAGTGGGCACAGCGTGTGGCACAGGATGGAGGCTATAGCTGCCGTATGCAAGCTTCCCCCCATCTTCCTGGGAGGCACCGCAGGGTGGAGCAGTAGGAGGTGGTGGTGGGGGAGCATATGGGGCTGGACATGGGAAGAGCTGGGGGAGAGGGGCACATGTCCCCCCCTTTGGCACCCCCACTTCATGACCCTGGAAGAGCCATTGGGCTCTGACTGCCCCACAACCCAGGCCAGCTGGGGCCCCGTTCATGGTGACTGGGCTCTGTCCAGGCCAGTTCATGGGGCAATCGGAGCTTGGTGGCTCCTCCAGGGGCATGGTGACATGACAAGGGAGGGAGGGGCGTGGCCCCCTGGTCTGTGCACAGGGCAAGGGCAAGCTTCAGCTGCAGCTTGCGCTCAGCCTCTGCTCCATGCCTCACTGCCGTTGCTTTGACACTGGTACAGTGCCATGTGAATCCTGCCACGGGGTGGGCCGGGCAGTGAGGCACATGGTGCTGTGCTGCTATTGAATCAGCAGCAGCAAGGCACAGAGCAGAGACTGAGCACAGCCCACAGCTGCAGCCTGCCCCTGCCCTGTGAAAAGACCATGGGGCCATGGACCCTTCCTTGGCTCCCCCATGCCACACCCCTGCTGGGCTCTGACTGCCCCACAACCTGGCCCAAATGAGGCCCCATTCATGTTGACCGGGGCCCTGGCTGGGCCAGGTCATGGGACAATCAGAGGCATGGCACAATGCGGCGTACGGGGGGGAATGGCCCGGAGTTGAGGTGGGGGGGAACAAGCTCAGACCCAGACTGGCAGGGGGAGGGGGGAATGGGCAAGGACCCAAACCAGTGGGGGTTGAAGGAGAAACGGGTCTGGACCCAAAGTGGGCCTGGACCTGAACTGGAGGGCAGAGGGAACAGTCCCGGACCTGGACCTGGACCCTAAGCGGGGGGGACCAGATGTGGGCCTGTGTCCCTGCCCGCCCATCATTCTTGACAGGCAATTTGCTAGTACAAATAATAATAACAGTTCCCTTAGATTCATTGAAAGTTTCAGCCTTAATGTAAGAGGAATGTCTTATTTGAAAGAAAGCAAAAAGACTGCATAGAATGTTCATACATAAGGGCCTCATCCACTAGGGTTCTAAATTGTGCTTTTAAGATCCTAAATGACTTCAACTGAGTTAAGTGGAAATTTTTTCAACTACACTGAGAAAAAGAGTCAGTAAACTCTATCTGCAATTAGAATTATACAATACATTCACAGTCATCTACAATTTGATAGGAAGCCTCATTTGCTGCATACCAACATGAACCTATGATAGAACATCAATACTACTCCTTAACATTTTACCTCTAATGTTTCATCCTGGGAATTATACTGTGGACAAAGTCTGATGAGACTTGCTGCTCCATCCAGAACTTCACAAAGCTCCTTTAAAAATACACCACAGAAGGGAACGACTTTACAGCCTGGAATATTCAGAGCCCGATTTACCACTTTCCTGTATTCAGAAGATGATTCATGTTGTGCCATAGCATCTTTCAGACTCCGCATGATTTCAATATCAGACTGATCCATAAACTGCCACATTTTTAAAACTTTTCTAGACCTATTACAAATGTATGACAAAACATTTATTTAGAAGAAAATAAAAAACACAGTTAACATTCTGAAATGTTCAACACCTGAAATGTTCACACAGTTCAACACCTGAAATCTACCAAATAAAGGAATTTTTTCATGTTTCCACTAGCATTATTAAAAAATAAGTTAAATAAATCATATTTGGTAGTTCTACAAAAGGACAATTTTTTCTTTTATGGTGCTGAACATAAAAGCAAATGAGGAAAGTAAGTAGTGGGATCTCAATATTGCTCGAGCTACATCTGGGATTTTGAAGAGAGACTTAGGGAGTACTATTGGAAAAGAAAACAGAAATCTCGCACATTTTTATTGTGACACTGCCTTAAAATAGAAGTGGAAGGAAATTAGAGAGGGGATTAAAGGAACAATGCCAGAATACATAACAAGTATCTTTTGCAGTGTTATGAACAATCCCTCAAGTAGCAAAAATGAGAGAATTTTAAAAACTGTTTTTATTTTAATCATAAATACTGATTATTTAATTTTGCATTTCTTTCAGATTGGACAATGAACCTTTCTGGCTTGCAGGCACTAATGCAACGCTGCAATGTTCCTGTTGTTCTATAGGGAAACTAATGACATTATTATGTTTCTATCCCCATGCTCTCTACTTTTTCTAGAAACATTTTTTGTCTGCCATTACCTTTCTTTTGCTTCCTTCAGTTATGCACAGGAAGCTCATGGGAAGCTTATAGGTCCTTAAAATGTTTTACGCTTCTGCATCCCTGCTACAATTTACATGGCCTGGGAGATTGTGGATGTTTTTTGCCAGACACGACTCCTTGTGTTTGTGAGTAAAAATGTAAACTAATAGCACAATACAAATTCTTAGGAAATCACAAATAGCTACAGTAAAAACACATTAAAACTTTGACATATAAACACAAAATACAAAGTTAAGAGACTGGAACTTTGGCTTTAACCCCTCCTAGTACAGAGAAATTCACTGCATAGTGGGTGCATCTACACGTGCACATATACTGCGCAGTAAGCAAAATTACTGAGTGGTATGGGCACCCATCTACATGTGCACACCCGTACTTCGTAGTAAATATGGTGACTTATGCTGACTTGAGTGTAAATTTGATACCTGTATCCTTCAGGTATCAAATTTATACCCAATTAGTTACTGCACAGTAACACACATATAGATGGTATACTGTGCAGTAACACTGTGTGTGGGGACTGATTTGGGACTAACTTTAGTCCTGAGTCAAACCACACACAGCACTAATGCACTTTAATGCCTGCATGTGTAGATACTGGCCTGTTTCTGCATACTAAGCAGTAACTTACTGTACAGTAAATTTAAGTAGGTGTAAATGCACATGTAGACACGCCCACTGTCAAGTAGGAGCTGTCAGTGTAGGTATAATGGAATGGATACAGAAGTGTTTCATTTCACATTTCATTTTGACTTAAGGTATAACCATACTATTAGTTTAATATGTTTCATCTGTATTATATAAAGTCCAATCTAAAATTATAATTATTCTCTTTGGTTCCATAGAGCCAAAATAGAACTGTTTTTTTAGTTATCTTTTCTCATTTGAAACTGCTATTTGAAAAATGTACAGTCATATTTTCAGTTTAACTATTTAGCACATACCAAGATAAATCATGACATCTCCAAAGAATTCTGAGAAATGTCCGTCTCTCACTGTTTTAATTTTTCCAGATTATCAGAAATTTACTAGATAAGGTGACATGACTTATCAACAATATTCTGTTTAATACTGTGATTGATAATGCCATAAACTGTTCTTCAGAAAAAGAATTGTGCTTAACAGAAGCTGCATTTTAATCTCTCTGTTTCTCAAACTTCCTCATGTAAAAGAACAAAAAAACCCAAGTTACCAGTACCTGAGTCCTGCCAAGAACTCCATTACAGCATTGTAGTTGCCCATGTTCCAGCAGCATTGTGCCACATGTACTAAATATGAGAAGACTTCTCGTTTCTCTTCCATAGAACCTGCAGTCAGGATCAGCCATGTAACCCAAGAGCTCACCTTAGAAAACAAACCATACAGTTCAGAAAATCAGCCACAGCTATTTGGCAAGTTAATACATATTTAATGAATATTTGTAAATTTTGGATTACGTCTATCAGGCATAAAAGTAGATATTTGACCAATATCTATATACAGATAAAAAAGTCACATACACTTACCAGATAAATGATATACCGTATTTACTCAAATATAAGACAGGTTTTTTTCCCCATTCAGCATGAGGAAGAAAGCCCCTACCTTACTGACACTTCCTTAGCCTGACGAAGGGTTTTTGAACCCGAAAGCTTGCTTAATAACTTTTCTCCAACTATTTGGGTTGGTCTAATAAAAGATATCAAATTCACCCAAGGAACCTTGCCTACCTTACATATACACACAAGGAAACCTCATTAAAATACACTGTCTATCTTTGAACTGCTGCTAAAAGCAGCATATATTCAATAATGGAAACCTACTATGAAGTTCATTAATTTTGTGGCCAACACTGAGCAGGACTATAAAATGCATGTTCCATATCGGGCATGGAAACTTACTTTTTTGGGTTATTTCTACTGGAGGGATCATGCAAGAAGGGGAGATAGCTGCTTCACCTGAACACTAGCAGGGGGACTGCTGGCCTGCAAAGGGCCCTCCCCAACATGACTGCAGCTGCTACATCCATCAGCATGGAAACTTACCGTAAGAACAGATTAATGTAACCCATCTAAATAAACTATATAATAGTACCCATTGAGTGCAATCCCCCTCAGCACCTACTCTTTTTTCAAGTCATGGTGAGTCACTACATTGAAAACATTTCAAATTCCTCTTCACTCCCACAGCTGAGCTGTGCCTTTCTTTTCCATTTCAAGTTATTCCTGTTTCTTCACTAGCCTTAAATGTCTGGATTACATCACCAAATTGGGCCCCAACATTTCACCCAGATCCCCCTGTTGCCACTTTTACCAGCCTGTCACGTATGATTAGTGTGGCCCTGCCCTCCATGAGGTAAAGCCAGACCAGGTTGCCCTATGCCTTATCTGTATATAAAACTTTGGAGGATCCCAGGACTCATGATAAGAACACCTGATTTCAATCATGAGGGAGGGCTAATTAGAATGTGGATCCTTTGTGGGGGATATCTGCAGTATACATACATACTGAGCAGTGCTGAACTGTTAGGTCAATATGGCTTGAAATGCTGTTGACTCTGCTGGGGCCCAGCCCAATGAACTATTTGTAATTCATGAACCTTTTGGCTTTGGACTAATGTCATGCATAGACCTGCTGGAGCTCTTTTGAGAGCACCTGCAGGAGAGCCAACTGGGAGCAGAGATGGAGCAGGGCCTTGTGACCCTTCAGTACAAGAAGGGACCGAGGGAAAAGTTGAAGAACTGGAGGCCGATCACCCTCCTGATCTTCAACTATAAGCTGCTGGCCAAAGTCTTGGCTGAGCAATTTAAATCCATCCTAGATACAGTCGTCCATGAGGCCCAGTCATGCAGGGTGCCGGGGTGACAGATCCACGGAGCCCTGGTGTAACTGAGAGATGCACTCCAGCTGGAGAGGGAGAGAAGACAGAGCATAGTTTCATAGTTGGTAGGGTCAGAAGGGACCTGAGCAGATCATCAAGTCCGACCCCCTGCCATAGGCAGGAAAGAATGCTGGGGTCAAATGACCCCGGCTAGGTGCTTATCTAGCCTCCCCTTGAAGACCCTCAGGGTAGGAGTGAGCACCACTTCCCTTGGTTCTCCAGATCCTAGCCGCCCTGTGAAGTAGTGCTTCCTGATGTCTAGCCTGAACCTACTCTCAATCAACTTGTGGCCAGTATTCCTAGATACTCCTGATAGTGCTTGGGGGAACAGGGTCTCTCCTGTTCCCTGCTGGTCCCCACTGGTATGTTTATGGACGGCCACCAGATCCCCTCTCAGCCTTCTCTTGTGGAGGCTGAACAGGTTCAGGTATCATAGCCTCTCCTCGTAGCGCCTACACTGCTGCCCCCTGACCATGCGAGTGGCCCTCCTTTGGACCCTCTCAATGCTGTCCACATCCCCCTGGAAGTGCAGCACCCAGACCTGGACACAGTACTCCAACTGTGGTTTGACCAATGTCACATAGAGGGGGAGGATCACCTCCTTGGACCTGCTCGTGATGCATCTGTGGATGCATGACAAGGTGGGTTAGCTTTACTGACCATGTCCTCACACTGATGGCCCATGTTCACCTTGGAATCAATAATAACTCCAAGATCCTTTTCTGCATCTGTGCTGATGAGAAGGGAGTTCCCCAGCCTATAGGTATGCTGCTGGTTCTTTCTCCCTAGGTGTAGTACATTGCATTTGTCAGTATTGAATCCCATCCTATTCTCATCTACCCACTCCTGTAACCTGTCCAGATCTAGTTGTAGCCTGTCCCTCCCTTCTGTTGCGCCCACCTCTCCCCACATCTTAGTGTCATCTTTTGAACAAGGTACTTTTTACCCAGTCGTCCAAGTTGATGATGAAGATGTTGAACAGTGCGGGCCCGAGGACCGAGTTCTGGGGGGACCCACTGCCCCTATCCCTCCAGGTTGAAAATAACCCATCCATCACCACTCTCTGGGTGTGGCCCTCTAGCCAATTTCTGACCCATCTGACTGTGTAGGCATCGATGTCACAGTCGCCTAATTTTTTAATGAGAATGCGGTGAGAGACAGTGTCGAAAGTCTTCCTAAAGTCGAGAAAGACTACGTCCACCGCTGTCCTAAACCTGGACCTGGAGAAGGCCTACAACAGAATGTCCCATTGGTTCCTGTTCCAGATGCTGGAGTGGATGGGAGTCCCCTCAACCTTCGTTGGATGGATCAGGACCCTCTACACAGAAGTGAGCAGTGAAGTGCAGATCAACGGTTCCCTGAGCGCCTGGATCACAGTGGAGTTGGGGGTCCAGCAGGGCTGCCCACTCTCCCCGATACTGTTTATCTGTGCCATTGAGCCTCTGTCCCAGTGCCTGAGGCAGGACCCAGGGACCCACGGAGTCCGCATCCTGGGCAGCAGCAACTGAGAAGCCAAGGTCCTGGCCTACATGGATGATTTGAACATCCTGTGTTGGAACAGGGGGTCAGCAGAGAGAGCCCTGGTGCACAAGCAGGTATAGGAGATGGCAGTGGAGGCCAAGCTCAATGTGAGCAAGAGCACCTGCCTGGCCATGGGCGAGCTTGGGGACCTGGAGTCTCTGGGGGTCTCTGTCCCCCACGAGGGGGTCAGGATCCTCAGGATAGATTTCAACCCTGAGCTGAGCAGCAGGACAGCATGGGAGAAGACAGAGGCAAAGGTAAAGCAGAAACTGGGGCTGTGGCACATGCGCTCCCTCTCCATTGCGGGGGGGTGCTCGTCCTTGTGAAGGCAGTATTTTTACCAGTGCTTCTGTACACTGCACTGGTCTTTCCCCCTTCTAAGCATGTCACCCACAGGATCCAGAGGGCCATGTGCATTTTCTTCTGGGGCTCCAGATGGCAAAGGGTCACCCAGAAGACCTTGCACAAGGAGAAGAGGGCTGGGGGCAGGGGCATGCCAGACATCCTCCTGTTCCTGTAGGCCAAGTATACGAGCCTGATCTGCAAGCTGGTGACCGATGCAGAATCCAAAACTGTTTGCCTCATGAGGTATTTTGCAGGGCACATCCTGAGACACTGGGGGGTATTCATCCCGACCAACCATAGACCATTTTTGATTCAATGCAGTGTGTGCTCCCCATACACACATACACTTGGGGAGCACCTACACGTGGTGATTTAAGGCAAATTAGCCATTTTTAAGGCACATTAGGGCACAGGTCTATACATGTGTGCTCTTAATGTGCCTTAAAATTGGCAATTTTAAACTAATCATGCCTAAATTTAATACCTGCTTAAAGCAAATATCAAATTTAGGTGCAATTAGTTAAAGCGCCTTAACCCACATGTAGACGCAGTAAGGCACCTTACTGCTATCTGACTGAGCAGGCTGGAGCTGAGGCCATGGGGCCCTGCACTGCTGCTGGGCACCACCAAGATGAAGAAGTGGTGGGTGCTGTTCTGCAAGTGCAGGCGCTGCAGTTGGAGCAGCGGTTCTCACAGCAGCAGTTTCTGTTGGTGTGTGATAAGTTGGCAGAGGGGGCAGGTGACATGAGGGTTCCTGTCAAAGCACAGGTGAAAGACCCTGCTGTGATACCCTGCAAGGGAAGGGAGCAGGTGCAGGCAGGGCCTTTGCTAGTGGATCCCCCATGCCTCTCCTTCAGGGTGGGTTTGCTGGCCAGGCAATGCAGCCCTGCAGGGTCAGAATGCCTTGCTGCCCGCCTAGGATTCAGGCACCCTTAGAAGCCTGTGGATGGGAGAGACAGCATCAGCTCCTGGGGGCTCTGTACAGCTCAGCTTGGGCAGTCTGGGCACAATGCAACTGAGGGTTCGGCCTTGGATCAGGCAGTCCAAGGAGACAGTGAAGCCCAAAGCGATGTTGAACCCAGCCTGCCCCAGGCTAAATCACACAGAGCCCCCAGGAGCTGATGCCACCCCTCCCATCCACAGTGTTCAGCATGGAGGCCAGGCACTTGCCCGGGACAGAGGTGGATGCAGCAGGGAAGGCTGTACCTGGCACTGGGGGCAGATGCAGTCCTAGACCACCTGCTATCCTGGGCAGGAGCTCCAGTGAGCAGCATTAAGGTGCTTGAAGGCCTCCATGTATAGACATATGCCTAAATCATCTTCATGAGCTTTAAGCTAAGGCACATTAAGTTTAGGCATGCAGAAAATCACATATAGACACACCCTTGGTATATTACATAGTCTGCGTTCACACACATATATATAAACTTAAAATTATCTAAATTTCAAATGACTTTTTTAAAACTATTTGTTATAACCAAAAATGCTGAACAACAAAGCAGATGTTCTGTATACATTTAAGCTATTGAACAACATGGGCTGTTTAAGCTAAGGTTAAGCTTTTTCAAAGCTTGCTGAAGTGATTTGCAAGAACAAAATTAATAGGAACTGGTATCCC